AGGATTCACTTGACTTACCCGGCCCAATCTGACTCAAGCCGGTGTGACCTGACTTGAGCTGGCGTGACCTGACCTGACCTAGGCCTGACGTGACATGACGTGGCGCAACGCGACGTGACTGGCGCAACGCGACGTGACTTGACGTGACCTGATCTGACCTGACCTGGCCTGACTTGACCTGATCTGTGATTTGCAGGGACCACGATGATGAGACGTCGGTGCTGGACGCGGTCAGCAAGCTGAACGAGGTGAAGGGCGTGCGAGGCATGGCCCGTTTCTTCAAGCAGGTGGCCCAGTCGGCCCGCTCCGGCTCCGGCGGCCAGGACGACTTCCTCGGCTGCGTCAACGTCAGCCTGCAGGTGCGCGCACACCGGGACAGACGGCGCCAGATCGCGGCCAGAACCGCACGCCGGGCCTGGCGGCGATCAATCGTGGCGGGGAGTGCACAGCGGGCCCGACTTCTGGGCTAACTGGGGGTTCGTTGCTTTAGAGCCGCTGCTGAAGTATCATGGTATTCTGGTGAGGCGTATGTTAATGTGTAGCCGGTGGAAGCAAGCGATTTCTCCTTCGAATTCTGAGCAGAGCCGCCTGAGATTGTTGATGTAGTTAACTCTTGAGGAAAAGGGAGAGTGCGAGCAGCCTCCTCCCCCCCCCTCACATCTTTGCAGTGTTTCATGTCCATCTTCATATTTATGGACAGTTAAGGCCGGCGGCTGTAGTGAAGGCGGCTGACAGTATTGGAAGGTGACATCCGAATACGGGATGATGGCAGCTGCAGTGAGCTTGAGTCCACTTATACCAACACCTATGGTAATATCGGGGCTCGAGATTGGCGTGAGTGATCCAGCTTCAATCGCAGCTGCAAGTTGGCCGAAGTTTTGACGTCCTAATTCAAGCACAGCGAAGTTTCACAGCACCAGCACTATGGTGCAGTAGCCTGTGTAATGCTGCTATCACTCTTGCGGTCATTAATTTAGGGCGTTCTACATACAAACCTCCGGATCGATCCTGCCATGCCACGCGCCTGTGTCTGCAGGAGCACCCAATGGACGTAAATACAGCAGCCACACCCCTGCGTTAGACCTGAGTGGTCTACAAAGCTGAAGCTTTACCATTTCTCAGATTACCGAAAGCCTCGACGGTTGTGTCCAGAGTGGTGGATTTAGCATAACACCAGAGCACGAGCAACTTTCCAAACTTGAGCTTCAGCTCTTCTCGGTGAGTGGCGCAAAATCCGGCGCCACAACAAGTCATAAACCATTTCCGGACGCCTGTCGGAGAATTTCGACTAGCGCTACACTACTGTTGCTAGGACCTCGGAGTAGGCGCCGTTTACAGCTATAATATCTGTGTTAAAGACAGCTCGTTCAGCGTGAGAGATGAGCTTCGTCTGCACGGTGGTGTTTTGTGCGTTTAGGAACGGCTAAACCTGACTTTTTAGACACTTGAGTTTGCAAACTTGCGATCGACGCATGCATATGTACCTAAAGGGCGCGTGGCAATCCCTGAAACAACGCTTGAGAGGCTAAAGCAGGTAAACAGCGGAGGGAGTCAGTCAGTTCAGAAGGACAGGTTGTATTCAAAATGCATCATTCAAAGAATGGATTGATCCGGAGGATGCACAAACCGATTTTATTCGACAGGGTGGAAAGCTCGCGCTCCTTCCTTGGTATTTACATTTCTCCTCCGCTGCTCACCGTCCTCTGTTCCCTGCTCTCTCCTCTGCTCACTGTCCTTTGTTCCCTGATCCCCCTCTGCTCACTGGTCTTTGTTCCCTGCTCCCTCCTCTGCTCACTGGTCTTTGTACCCTACTCCCTCCTCTGCTCACTGGTTTTTGTTCTCTCCTCTGTTTACTTCCCCTCCTGTTCTTTCTCCTAGCTTGGCTCTTGGTATTTCAGTTGAGGTCATATATCGAAATGTAAATGCTATGAATGGTATACTTCAGTTATAATTTCTTGAATTTCTGAAAGAGGGAAAATAATACGCGGTGAGCTGTCCCTCTTGATCGGCACCGGATGCGCCTGTGTGATATGTGAAGATGTATGGATGTGTAGCGGTGTAATGAATTAGACCACCGACCTCCTCTAGCCCTTACATGTGGCGTGTTGCGATTTTCCAGACATGATCAAACCACGTCAATTTGTTGGTGTTGAAACTCCCATTTTTGTCTTTGTGACATTGCTTTCGTCACTTTGCTTGGACCGTTCAGAAATCCGGATAAGTCTCCAACTTGCAGGATTCGTTTGAGTTAACCTGTAAGATAGTCGGCACTCGCTTAGGAGCAGTCATTCGGTACCAAAATGGCCACTTCAGTACAGATTATTCTGAAAAACAAGCGGCCAGTAATTGGGCTTCATTGTTTTAACGATAGTACAGCGTCACACGCGTAAACCCTTCGAAAATAACACACAACTTGTGTGATGTCTCCATTTCTCTGCACATTAGGACACGCTTTGTGTCTAGTCCACCTCCAACAGCTGAATTTCCAGCGCTGATGTATGTTTGTCTCCTGGCGTCCGTGCGCCTCGTGTGACGGGGGCGTTCCGTGACCGTCATTCCGTCCTTCCGGCAGGATATTCCGTCCACCGGCCTGGACCAGTGGTTCACACTGGAAGGTCGCACGGCCAAGTCCGCTGTCCAGGGCCGGATCCGCCTCAAGATGTGGCTTTCAACCCGTGAGGACAGGTCAGAGAATGTGGTCTCAGCTTACTCGCCAGGACAGGTCAGAGAACGTGGTCTCAACTCACTAGCGAGGTGTATGTGGTCAGAGAATGTGGTCTCAACTCACTCGCGAGGACAGGTCAGAGAATGTGGTCTCAACTCACTCGCGAGGACAGGTCAGAGAACGCGGTCTCAACTCACTCGCGAGGACAGCTGAAAAACCTAGGCCTAAGCTTACCCAGAACAGAAGAGAGACGGAAAGAGAAAGAGAGGGGGGCATCGACGGTCTGAACTTGCTCGCGAGAACAGGTGAGAAAGCGCGGTCTTGGCTAATTGGGGAGAGCAGATTAAAGAAACAGGTCTCAGCCTACTCATGAAAATGAATAATACAGGACTGTCTTACCTTATTCGTCAAAAAATGTAAGAGAATACTTAAGATGTACCCTGGAGAAGAGATCGGAAAGTGTGGTCTCGAAAAAGCAAGTTGCTACCAAGTCAGCCAGTTCCTTGGGGAAAGGTTTGGGAAGGTTGGGAAAAGGTTGCGAAATCCCAAGTTTCCATAACCACATTGGGAAATGCTTGGGATTTCCCGAGCTTTCATCCTTTGAGAACCTGCCATCGCCCATCGCTTGGGAAAGCTTGGATTTTCTCTGAACGTCCCCGACCGTCAGATTTCGATATGTTTGTGGAAGTCATTTTTCGATGTTTAGGTGGCTCGGGGAACGCTCCCCGCTTGGGGACTCCCAGGAAGCGTTCCAGAGCGAGTGGAATCCCGACCTCAGTGTCTAACTTTCGGAGCTGATCTTGAGCATCCCCAACCGGAAGGTTGGGCCACGTCCAGGATATCTCGATTGGGTTCTGACCGAAATTGCTTGCTGGGAAACTCCCTTGTGATAACAGATCAGAGAAAATGACCTCAACTCATTTTTGAAAACAGATGAGAAAGCAAGGTAACTCCCTGTTGTGAAGATGTGAGAAGGCGTGGGCCCAACGCAACTCATGACAACAGGTTGAGAACCATGGCTTCAACTTGTTGGTGAAAACAAGTGGGCTAGAAAGGCCTCAGATAGCTCTTGAGGGTAAAAGTGAGCATGATCCAACTAGCTCGGGAAGCCAGCTGAAAGCACGCGATCATGACTGTTTCCGTTTGAGAGCAGTATAGAGGGCGATCCGTATTTTACCGTGTGTGCTCATAGTCTCGTTCGACATGAAGTCGCAAGATTTGTGTTGGTTGCGTCCGTGGACACTGGTGTGGAGAATGACAAAATGTATATTTGCCTCGCTCTTGGGAAGGGCTGACGACGACAAGCTGCCCAAAGTCTGTTACAGTGCATTTGCACGTCTCGATGGTTTGAACCTAGTGCTCTGGCACCACACATCCAATGCTTTGTTGTCAGTTTCATACGGAGATTATCACGACGTGGGCAAAGCAGGGTGTCACATAAGTACTGATTTAGTTCGCTTTGTTTCAGAGGACTTTCTGAGGAAGACACATGGTCGGAAGTGATTCAACAGCAGAAAATGATCGAGGTGTTCGTGAAGCATGAACTTTCCAAGTTCAGGGTAATAATTGGAAGGTCGTGTTCAAATCGAAAGCCTGCAATAGCGACGAGTATCAGCTTTCTGTTGTACGTCTGACAATTTTCCTGTTGTCAGCTGATGCCCTCGTTGGAATTATTCGTTGACTCTTTGGCTGTTGACTCCTCTTTTTAAGACAGTTGGTAAATAGTTTCGGCGAGGTGCTCGTTTGCAATGAGCGCTCGTTTGCCATGAGTAATGCTCAGGATGGGCAGCATTGCTGTGCCCCATTCGACGACTCTCGAAGCTGTCTTGACTCGTAACCAAGGGTGTGGTGGGGTGAAAAGGCCATTCTTGTCATCGATCGGAACCAGATTGCAATCCTCCTTCCAGCCGAGTGCACCTCGCCAATATCACCCTTCAGCCCCCGTGCCGTTCCGCCGACACCAACGTTACCGAGAGATTGTCTCAGCTCATGAGAAAACCTGTGCTTAAGGAGGCTCACGCGTCGTCGCGCTCGACTTATGCAGGAGCGTGAGACGCGCGGTGTGCCTCTGCCAGTAATTGCCAGCCGCTGTCTCCAAAGCGCTCCAGCCAATCTCCAGACTCGCTCAACCGCCGTGTATTACACCGCGCTCGCCCGGCGGCCGACCTGGTGACGACCTCAGCCGGTCTATATTGGGCCCGTGAGTTAGGACGTGCCAGACTGCTGCACGTTCGTGCGTCCTGACGTGTCGCCTCTGCCGCCGCGAGGGCCCGTCCTACAAGTGGAGCGGAGACCTGCCGACCGTGGCCACCACCATCCTGCACCAGCACGCGGTGCAGGGCGACCTCACGGAGCTGCAGCAGGCCGTGAGTAGTCTCACAGCGATGGGAGAACGATATCAAGGAGCTACAGCAGGCCGTGAGTACAGTCTCGCAGCGATGGGAAAACGACATCACGGAGCTGCAGCAGGCCGTGACAGCAATCTTACAGGGATGGGAGCGTGGTCTCATGGAGCCCAGACCGCAGTCTCACAAGGTCACAACGGGCTGCACAGGCACAGGTTTAAAGTGAAACATCAAGATCAAGAAAAGAAGCTGGACAAAATATAGCGATGTGGATGTGGAAGAAATGTAAAAGGTTTCTACGTGTGTGTTGCAAAATTTTGGTGGGCGTATTCCGCGCGCATTGCAGTTTTATGATTATATGATTCAAACCCTGTGACCAATACCAAAACTAATTACCCATCGATGACATATCTTGCTTGGCGTTTCGCGGCCGACTGTGAGCGTGGCGTTATGCAGCCAGCTGTGAGCGTGGCGTTATGCAGCCAGCTGTGAGCGTGGCGTTATGCAGCCGACTGTGAGCGTGGCGTTATGCAGCCGACTGTAAGCGTGGCGTTATGCAGCCGACTGTGAGCGTGGCGTTATGCAGCCAGCTGTGAGCGCGGCGTTATGCAGCCGACTGTGAGCGTGGCGTTATGCAGCCGACTGTGAGCGTGGCGTTACGACAGGTGTGTCGGTGGATCGCGTACGCTGAGCAGCACCAGGAGTCGGCGCTCGACTACCGTCTGCTGCTCAAGATCCTGAAGCAGCTCAACGACAAGTTCACCGACGACGCACTCACCTACGAGGAGGTGAGCACTGAGCACACATCACACACGCCCGTACGACCCCGCGTCATGCAGATGAACCGGGACCGAGATGCAAGGCTCTGTCTCTTCCTCACGTCATCATCATGTCCCTCTTCCATCTCCTTGCTCTACTCTCTTTCCATTTTCTCTTTGAAGCTAACGCCGTGAATGTATTCTGGCTCTTGGAGGAAGTTCACATGTTTCAAGGTACTGATAATGTATGCCTTGCGAGAATCAGCGGTTGATGCTTCCATAATTTTTGACAAAACAGATCAACGTAAAACGCATCAAACAGAGTCTTTTTACTTCAGTTTGTTCGTTCAGCATCAATAGCAATCTCAATGGCAACGCGGTATGGATATGCTCGTTACTTAGTCACACATGACGGTAATCAGTGTGGCAGCTGCATACCTTGATCGTTACAAGCCTTACTGGCGTGCTTCGCTCGCGCGATGTGATCTTCTGTCATTCTGGAGCCACCCCCCCCCCCCTCCCATACCTTTCTGTTCGTGTACTGCAACCAAAATTGCACACAACCGCAAATCGCATTTGGACAAACCCTGTTGTTAAATATGTGGGCGGCAGCGAAGACGAGCTGCCGAATTGCCAGAGCCTAGCCGGCGACAGGCGAGCTCGCAGTGCTTCGTGTTGCCCTTCGACGAAGCAATTAAACTTTCGCTTGGCAGCGCACCAAAAGCCGATCAAGAAAGTTTGCAAGCTCATTAGGCTCTCTGTCTAAGAAGGGCGACTTTGATTTTAATTTTATGTGACACGAAACCCTCACTGAACGGTCAGGAAACGTAACTAACGACTAATTCATTCATTTCTAACCAGCTGCTACCAAGACCGACAGGTTTCGTTCAGCTCAACCCGCCGAACAATGTGTAATTGGTGGATCTAGACAATTCGTGAAGAGAACTTGCTCCGCGCTTCTGCAGCCAGAGGCAATAAATAGACACTTTTGTTAACGCACAAATATGTCCGTTCATCTTTGACGAAATGGCTACTTGTGCAGTATTTCGGGAGCTTTGTTGGTGACGCACGACATATTCCATACTTATACGGTATCAAAAATATTAAAACTTTGCATTGCTATCGGCTTATTCAAATTATGATGCATGGATCAACTTATCGCCGGGTGTTTTTCCTCGCCAAAAACGCCGATCATCCTTAAATCGACGCAATCATTATTTGATAATAATCAAGGTTAAAATAAATCATGGCTGCATTCCTAAAACACCCGCGAGCAAAAGTTAAAAAATATATCTAAAGCGCAGGTTTTGTTACGCTTCGTAGCTCCTAGCATGCGAAATTCTGTCTTTATATACACTGGTCCAGTGCACATCAACCAGGAACTTGCAGATACTGATAACAGTCAGACAGCATTAAATGTATGACTGACACCGACACGGTTATTTGGCCCGGTCATTATGAGCCTTATTACAGCTTTCCATGTGCAGACAGCAGCATGACACGGCCTCTCGTGGCATGTAGCTTTTCGTTGCATTAAAACAATGCGACTACGTGTTTCCATGGTGGTTCGGACTCGCGCAGCTGGCTACATGCCATGGTGGTTCGGACTCGCGCAGCTGGCTACATGCGATGGTGGTTCGGACTCGCGCAGCTGGCTACATGCCATGGTGGTTCGGACTCGCGCAGCTGGCTACATGCCACTGATACGCTGATAACGACTTACTCCTCGTTCTCCCGCTCTTTTTACCCCGGTAGTTCCCGGCTCCGTCCATTATTGAGAAATGATTCTTTACGTTATATTTGTTAGTGGATAGGCTGATCAATTTGGCTGTCCTTACATTGCAGCGCAGGTAGGCTGTGAGATATCCATATTTACTTTGCTGTAATAATGTGATGGCACGCTGCCCGTGCCGGCCAGCGGGGGCGAGGGTCAGGTCATAGTGGCAAAGTTTTGTTTCGAATGCCAAAGGCTGGAAAGTTGACAAACTTCCTCGTATTTAGGGGCGAATAGTTTGGGACTTGGCATGAATATTAATATCATCCCAGGTGGCCGGGCAGACTAAGGCTAAGCACATATCTGGATTCACGCACGCATGCATCCTTAAAAAGGAGGCAAGAAAAACCGCGGGGAAATGCTGCATTTGCTATTGCTCTGTTTGCTTTCAAATCCTTCATACAATGCTATTTTGTCCTACTCAATGGGAATCTGCGTAAGTTGTTCGGTCCGCTGCTGAGGCTTTCTAGCCCGCTGGTAACTTCAGTTTTTTCTAAAGAAGGGATATCATTATTGATAGATGGACTGTCTTAACACAGCTACGTCGGTCAGAAGGAACTGCGGAGGTCTGAAGATGCGGATACTGCTCTCTGAATTTGTTATGTTAGGACAGTTTTCTTGTACCAATGGGATGCGCCGAATTGTAGTACGTTATGATGATGGCAGCCGTGAATTATAAAAGATTTACTCCGAGCGTTCTAATCGGTTGTATTGCTTGGATAAGCGCCACGTTAATTAGTGCTTGTTGTGTGAGCCCTGACCCCACCACACGATCGTAAACTGCTGGGTCAACAGCGGAGTTTGGCGGTGAAAACCTGACGTGCCAAACTGCTCGGCTCGGTCAACCTGTCGTCTGCCATTACCTGCCCTATGGCATTACCAGCCTTCTGGCATTACCTGCCCTCTGGCATTACCTGCTTTCTGGCATTATCTGCCGTCTGGCATTACCTGCCCTCTGGCATTACCTGCTTTCTGGCATTATCTGCCGTCTGGCATTACCTGCCCTCTGGCATTACCTGCTTTCTGGCATTACCTGCCGTCTGGCATTACCTGCAGTCTGGCATTACCTGCCCTCTGGCATTACCTGCCCTCTGGCATTACCCGCTCTCTGGCATTACCTGACCTTTAGCGCGGCCGTTGCCGTCTATGTGAGCGTGTCAGAACTGAAAGTGTTGAGGTCTAGGGGTGAAGTAAAGAAGTAAAACATTCAGCAGCATTATGCGCCGACGAGCTAGATACTTTAATGAGCAGAGATATTGAAGGGCAGTATTTTCTTTACCCATGCCTCCGACAGCAGTGGGGCTGTGCCCATACCCTCTTGCTATTCAATTCTAGTCGATAAGACGGTAGTATTAGCGTCATTCCTCGGATAAAAACCAAGAGAATAGAGATAAAGGAGGCCCACAGCGGTTTTTGGTTTTCATCCGAGGAATGAGGCTAATGCTACTGTTTTATCTATGTGAAAAATGTTCCTCGCTAATGCATTGAACAACTTACTGATTTTAACTCTAATCCGTTGCATCCACCTGCTATCCACTCGTTTTCATTTTTCCGGCGCTTAAATTTTAAATCATCACAGAGTTTCAGGAAAGTTTACAATAAAAGTTACCTTTTCAATGATCGTTGCCAGGGTCGTGGGCATGTAGCTAATATTTACTTTAAAAAAAAACACAGGAAGCGACGTTGTGCAGTATGTCTTGAAGTGTCTAACTGTGATTTTCCGAACGTACTATTCATGTCCATGCTCGTATTTTTCCCAAAAGCTATACCCAAACCAGCCCGTTTCATATTCTGCATAGGTGTTTACGAGTCTACCCAACACGTAAAGTCCTCTGACTTCAAGCATGCGTTTGCAGTGCAGTGCAGATTTGTTTCATTTTCAGCAAGAGTCATTAGCCGAATCCTTCAAGAGCTTTCTGGGCCACAGCTTTTCCATCCTGAGAAAGCAAAAGAAGCTTTTTCCTGCAGGAAACAAGGAGGCCCACAGAAAACTCGACGGTCTTCTCAAGTGAGTACCTATTTGGACGACCTCTCATCAAAGCAGAACGGAGGTGCGTCGTTCATTTGGAAGATGTCTTAAGCATTCCTTTACAAGAGAGCCTCTGTTACTGTGTAAAGGCAACGCACTACATAATAATGTATGCATTAGTTTATCACCGGTCGAAGCATCTTGATATGAAAGCATCAAAGTAAGGCGCTCAGGATGTTTTGTGAGCGCAATCCTCTTGCAGACTAAAATGCAGTGCGTCGCAATTTCAGAGCCTCTCCAGGTAATGAAAAGCAACTCCTAGTTGTTTCCGCTCGATCGTGGCTCTACAGATTTGTCGCTCTTTGTAACCAATATGCCACAATATTTCCCCAGGTTAGGAAAGTAAGAGATGAGGCAGTGTTTGGGTTACGACGTGCCACGTGAACGCTTGCGGAATGTGTGTAACTTGGGTTTCACTCTAGTTCAAGTGCATGTTCGGTGCTTGGCGGCTCTCCCGCCCGCCCATATTCTGGCGATGGGAAGTCGTGGGGTGTGGGGATGCGCCATGCAGGTCAGCTGGCTGGGGCCACGAGCACAATACGATGGGGAAAACAATGACTTGTCCTTGTTAGACTAGGGTTTTGTAGGTAAACTGCCGGCATCTAGAATTCAGCTCACATTTAGCTCGCATGTTGGATGCCTCTGGCTAGCCCACACGCTCTCCGAGAGAGGCTGGGGGCAGCGAGGGGGGAGGGGGTGGCATCGACCGCCAGAGTTGTGATAGTCACCAGTATCGATAATTTATAAACAAGGTGACGGAAATAGAATGTGTCTGAAATATTGCTGGTGTTGTTACAGTGGAAGTTCGAGGCGCGTAATGCGTTAGTTAATACTTCGCCTGAGCTGTTCGAGCTGCTTTTCTATCCAATCACGTGCCCGATATATTACCAAGTGTTTCGCCAACACCATGGATTAAGGTCATTTAAAAGTGCTCCCCTCTGAGCACCAGCTCCGAGTGCCACTCTCTGGGTGGCATTTTCAGAGGATTCATCTGTTCAGTGGTTCCTGTGACTGGCGGTTGCCATGGTCCCCCTCTGTGTCGTCATGCCTTGGTGCCCCTCTCTGAGCATTCTTCTTCAGATACTCCGTTCAGAATTTTCGTCACCAAGCGTCCCTCACTGCATTCATTTCTGGGTGCCTTTTTTGAGTGTGTTCTTCTGTGATTTCGTACCTCCAACTGCCTCTTTTCCACTGCCTCCTCTCTGGCTGGCTGTTTCGAAGTGTCCCTAGGAGTGGCCCTTTCTAAGTTCCTGGAAGTGGCTCTCTTTCTCTCTCTTTCCCTTCCTCGGCTGACATATAGCCCCCGGCGGTGGTGCGCGCTCCACATCTCATTAATAACACAGTGCCTCCCTCCGAGTGCAAGAATAAACCCTTCCATGGCCTCCCTCTGAGAGCGCTGTCCGACAGGTTCCTGGCCGCTCTCTCCGGCATGGAGATCTTCCGGCGCGTGCTGCCGTTTCAGCGCGAGATCCGCACCGAGATCAGCCAGACGGTGAAGAAGGGCTGTGTCGAGTGGTGAGCGACGCTGGGCGGCCGGGCGTACCCCACGGCCAGTCGCACCCCACGGCCGGACGTACCCCACGACCGGGCGTACCCCACGGCCAGTCGCACCCCACGGCCGGACGTACCCCACGGCCGGACGTACCCCACGGCCGGACGTACCCCACGGCCGGACGTACCCCACGGCCGGACGTACCCCACGGCCGGACGTACCCCACGGCCGGTCGCACCCCACGGCCGGCCGCACCCCACGGCCGGTCGCACCCCACGGCCGGCCGCAACCCACGGCCGGTCGCACCCTACGGCCAGGCGCGCCTCCGCGGCAGCAGCGGGGCTGCCGCTGGCCGCGCTCTCCTCGGTGCTGGGATGGAGGGCCTCTGTATTGGTTTGGTGGATGCTTTTTTCTCGTTTTGTTCTGAGTCTCTTTTTATGTTGCCACGCTTGTTTTGTCATGAAACTTGTTCAATGCCAATGCCTGTCGTGTTAGGATAAACGGGTTTTTCGAATGTAGGTCTCTATGTGCTGCGATTCTTGTTTTGTTGCCGTATTTGTTTTACAACACTTGTTTCATTTTGAATATTGTGTTCTTCGAATGCTGCCTTGTCCTTATACTTGCTCTGTCCCAGTAGTTGCTCCGTTCCAAAAATTACGAGCACGCTGGTCCGAGCAGAAACGATGGGCGAACGGCCAGCGTCTCATTGTCGGCAGTGGTACAGAGCTTATGGTAAATCAAAACTCCCTGACTTGTTTAACCTGCCGGCTTTGATAATGTCTTACGTCTATCAAACAACTTTTGCATTTTAACTGCTTCCCTTGTGATATTTTTTTTGTTTTGAATCGCTGTAACCGGAGTCCCGTTGTTCATGTGCCAATGGAAGCCCATTCCTTGCTTCGGGTTAGGCCCATTCCTTGCCCAAGACGTCACGACCCAAGCCCATTCCCTGCTCGGCCGAGAGGCGAGGTAAGTGCGTTTGTTTACAAATAAGCCGTCGATGCTGTCCTAGCAACGCATAGCAACGGTCGATGCGCTGTTGATGGCCTTGTGTGCCCGGTAAACAGGCAGGTCCCAATCTCGTGTGGGTAGTGTGACCAGTGATGATGTATTTAGTTATAGATCACTTGCCAATAACTGTTATTCGAATAATATTCGAGTGCGCGGTTCCCGCGCGTCTTATGTCCCCATGGGGTTGGATCAACTGATTCTACTCGTGCCCATATTTGGAACTAAAGGCGTCCCCATTGGCGTGCATCTATGACGCCGCCTTAGTGGGCGGAGCTCGGGTCGTAAGGCAGTGAGAAACTGGACTTGGGAGGTGCTCGGCCTAGGTGTGCCCCCCACCCCCACCCCCCTCCCCCCCCCCCCTCCCGGTGGGCTGGTGCGCCATCATTGCGTGCACGTACGGCTGCAGGGGCGGTCCCAAGGAGTGAGAGAGGGGGAGGGCTGTAAGGTCCACTGCAGAGGTCTCTCAGGGAAGCGACGGCTGCAGGGGCGGTCCCAAGAACTGAGAGAGAGGGGCTGTAAGGTCTACTGCAGCGATCTCTCAGGGAAGTGATGGCTGCAGGGGCGGTCCCAAGTACTGAGAGAGGGGGATGTAAGGTCCACTGCAGAGGTTTCTCAGGGAAGCGGTGGTCCCAAGTACTGAGAGAGGGGGGAGGGGGCTGTAAGGTCCATTGCAGAGATCTATCAGGGAAGCGACGGCTGCAGGGGCGGTCCCAAGTGCTGAGAGAGAGGGGGGCTGTAAGTTCCACTGCAGACGTCTCTCAGGGAAGCAGAGGGGAAAGTAAAGGACCTGCTGTTTACCGGTCCAAGAAAGGTGAGGGCAGAAATGAACGTTGCGGACGGTTTTGCTAAAGAAGGGGAAGAGAAAGAAAGACGGTGTGTCATTGACAACTAAAAAATGTTGTACCAGCTTTGACAAAAGTGGGCATAGTTGAACAACTACTGGTGGTCAGTTGTTTCAATCTACAAGTGATTTGTTTGAAGTGAGACAAAGGAAATGGAAGCATGCTTTCTTGTCTTTAAAATACGGAACGTCAATAGCTAGGGCTTAAACCACCCTGAGCACGTTCAATTAGTGTCCCGAGCAGTTTGAATCACTCTTGCCGTGTTAAACGGCTTCATACACTCGTGAACAACAGTCCCTCTTCAGGATGAATATATGTTTTGAAGCAACGCTTCGCCTTTCGCCAACTACTGATAACTCATAAGATTTTGGCGCACACATCGGTTCAAGGCTCACAGAAACTCAGGGGTACCCCAGAACTTGGACCATCAACAACCATTTCACGGACCAAGTAGCAGCCCTCCATTTGCATGAAAACACAAGCCGCGAAAGAGTGTCAAACTAGTTCCGCGTGCAAGGCGTGGCGTCAGAACGAAGAGGGCCGGACTTTAGCCTGGCTGAGTAGCTGCAGAACTAAGGTTTTCACAAGCAGATACGCTGGTGATTTTACTTTCGACTAGTCGTGATCATCATCGCCCCTGAGCACGTGCCTGCGGTGTATTCAATTGATTGCATTTGCAATACGACCAACGAGTTGGGAGATTACACCTACCCCCAGTCTTAATTTCGCCTCTCTACAATGGGCGGAAGACCATACTTCCAAATCATGCTTGTGAAAGAAGATTTCTAGTCCCAGCATATACCAGTCAATAGTTACATTTTTGGGACATTTCTTGGAAAGACGTCGTGCGAATGGGAGACTGGTAAACACCATATGTCGATGCCGTATATCGTCTTCTGGCAAAGTTCTTCATCCTCTGGCATCGAACGGCATTGCTAAATATAGGGGCACTGCCTCGCTATTTGGTGGAGCTAAACATGAACTGTATGAAAACGGCACGGAAAGCATCGACTGTAAATTATCGAGTTTCCTTGTTCTGGTCCTTATCCGGCGGCCATGCCATGGGCTAGCCTTCCCGTGCGGCCCACGTGTGCCATCACCGTCCCTGGTCCGCCCGTGTCCGGCCTGCCCTCCATCTCGAAGAACAATCAAACTGGCCGTCTCGGGAGGCGGTCGCGCGCACGACTTCCCTGCGGCGGGTGCGCTCTGGAGGCGTGGCCGGATGTCAGCCGCTTCCGGCGCGGCCGACCTTTGCCCTCCGACCGGCAGGTACTCGCGGCTGCGCGACCACCTGCAGCTGGACCCCAGCGGCGAAGACTCGGCCGTGCTGCAGGCCCTCATCAGGCTAGTGAATGAGGTCAGCTGTCACTGCTTCCACGGCCACAACCACCACAACCAGCTGTTTATGCAGTGAGTGCACGGCCCAATAGCAGACTCGGGGGTCGGTGAGGTGTGCAGGAATGCCATCCGTTTGCAATGTTAGACGGCAGGGAATACTTAGCACGGCTACATTTTTCACGCGAAGTGTCTGTAAACGCCTTTGGTCGCTGTTTACAGCACCCACCTGACACCAGTAATTTTGTTTGGCTCCTCAGAAGCATACACCGACATGACAACGAAATAACCCCGATTACTTTGCCCACGTAACTCTGTGATGCAATGACACTTTCAGAGGCACTCTTATTGAAGTATGCGTATTGAGATAACAAGCCGCAGGATTTGTATATTCTAGCTGAGTGCTAATCCACCTGATAGTGGCCTTTGTCGCAGAGGTGCCGCTCCACGATGCTCTTGTGAAAAACCAGGATAAAGCGGTATTCGTTGAGACGTAAATGCGCTACCTACGTGCATCTTTTCTTCTTCCGGTCTTCTGCTGTTCTCCTATCGTTGTCTGCGCCCGAAGTCTAAATGCAACTCATTCGGAGTAAATCCGTATTACAGAGAATGGAATTCCACCAAGCGTAGCATTCTAAGTGGTTGGGATTAAATGTTTGTCATGCAGGCTGAAAATAACCCAAACAAAAATGATTAGAAAGATTGCTCTTCCGCTGACGCCGTTCTGCAACGCATTTGCCAAATTTTGCGTGCAGGACTTGGTGCTTCCATGGCGATGAGTTGTATCGAGTGGAGAAAGCACTTCGCGGAGCTTCCATGGCGATGGGTTGTATCGGGTAGAGAGAGCACTTCACGGAGCTTCCAAGGCAATGGGTTGCATCAGGTAGAGAGAGCACTTCGCGGAGATTCCAAGGCAATGGGCTGTATCGGGTAGAGAGCACTTCACGGAGCTTCCATGGCGATGGGTTGTATCGGGTAGAGAGAGCACTTCACGGAGATTCCAAGGCAATGGGTTGCATCGGGTAGAGAGCGATTAGCGGATTGTGTTCTTTGGGATTCAGTAAGGTCCTGCCCGGCCGTCTGGAACCCAATCTGCCAGCTCATCAGAGCTTTTCAAACGCTGAATTTAGACCTGGCCGGTACGACTCAGCAAAACTATTATTTACAAATCGCCGGAATCTGTATTCATGATTTTGGTTCCGTATATAATCAACAAACAGTTACGCACATCGCAGCATATGTAATTATTTTTTTAGGCAAATTCTGATTGCCCACGAAAAACAGCTATTAATTGGTCAGTTTGAACGTTTCTACCTGGTTCCAAGGACGCTGCCAACTGATAACCTTCATTATTAACTTAGCGTATATACAAGTACATCTTAGCATACATCTGCAACTCACACTTGGCATTCCGACTTTTACATGTATTGTTATAGCCCTAAATTTTAAAAAATTATATGCTATTAGTGAAAATAGACGTTATATAGACGTGAAAATAGACCACGATAGACGTGTGTTTGTGTGTGTGTGTGTATGTGTGTGTGTGTGGGGGGGGGTGGGGGGGGGGGTGGGGGTGGGGGGTGTGGGTGTGGGTGTGGGTGTGGGTGTGGGGGTGGGTGTGGGGTGTGGGTGTGGGTGGGGGTGGGTGTGGGGTGTGGGTGTGGGTGGGTGTGGGTGTGGGTGTGGGTGTGGGTGTGGGTGGGTGGGTGGGTGGGTGGGTGTGTGGGTGTGGGTGTGGGTGGGTGGGTGTGGGTGGGTGGGTGTGGGTGGGTGTGGGTGGGTGTGTGACGATTGATGTTCAAAGTTTCAATCAGTTTTCTGTAACAGCGACGCTGAATGATGGCCTGAAATCCGCCGCAGTGTATATTCCCCGCGCCCGAGCGGGCCCGGACAGCGGGCGGCAGCGGGCGGCGGGGCTTTGATCTGCCACTGCGGCGCTGTGACGAGGCGGCGGAAGCCGCTCAAGTTTGTTGTGTGGTCTGAGACCGCCCGCCACGGCCTTACCGACTGCCATCTGAAATTTGAATTTTGCTCTCGGCCGTTCTTGAGATAACCGGGGGGGAGGGATCAGATCTGCCCCTCAGATCAATGGCGCGCCGCTGAGAGGCCCGATCAATGTCGGATTACACGAGGCTGAAAAACACCTTTATGGCACTCTTTCCGACCGGGTCGGCTCACTTGATGTGTCTGTCGTCCGCAGAACCGTCGGCGTGCCGTACTTCGCTACCATCTACAAGCAGCTGGAGAAGCTGGTACGTACCGCAAGCTAGAGTCTGTTCCGACCAGCACCGTGGTTGCCAGATGCCATCGTCTCCATTGCTGTCGAGAACGAGTGTGGTGCCCTGTTGCCTGGGGTGCCCAGTCGTCACCGGCTGGCGGCCGCTGTACCTACACCACTGGTGCACTGGTGTTGTACTTACACCACCACTTTTGGTGCTTGTTTGTGAATAACACGGGGATGAGAGACTCGTTGGGCTTGCAACCATACCGCCGATGTGAGATTCAGTTGGCGCTTTGTTACTGCATTATGAATAATGGATTGCGGGTAAGCGGCCCCTGCTTGTTCAGCTCCTACGAGGATAAGTGGACTTTTCATCCCGGATACCTTTGCAGGGACTGGAAATGCTGTTAAGGATTTGTAACTTTGAAAAGACACCATTCCTCTTGGAAAAATCCGAGATCTCTTGGGCCTTAAAGATCTCGGTCGCTTGATGTTTGCGACGGCTCAAGCAAATTATGATAGGTTTTGGAAAATAGGCCTTTTGCGCCGTGTTTGTTTAGCTGGCGGGCGGAGTATGCCAACTGAGGGATTTAACGGGTTGGGTAAACCATAGCTAATCTTATGTAACGTGTAAAGGGCTGGGATGGGTGCATATTTTGGGGGAATTACGGGTATGTGTACGGGCAGGGCAATACGTTTACGAAATATTAGATAGACACTACACAAGAAATGCTCTACGCTGCTGCTTGTGCAGCTTTTAGCCCTAATCAGCTCGATTCACAATTATTTTGTAAATGTCGGTGGAAAAGTGTAAGTTCCGGTGTTAACGTTTTTGAAGCTTTTCCATAGTTCAGAACTTGAGAGCAGGGAAACTGTAAACAGACTGATAACGGGCGGATGCAACTGATAATGAGCAGTGGGCGGGGATGGGCGGAATCACATGGGAAGCGGGTAAATTGGCTAAAGAAGACTTTGCCACCATCCCATAAATTTTCTCTTTAAGTGTAACTGCAACTTAATGAACTGCAGACCAAGCTGCATTTTGACGTCCCCTTCTATCAATTGTAACCGATTTTACGACATGCTTGGCTGGCTCGTCAGCCGTAAATGCAGTCAGGATGTCTTTTGAATTGAAAGAGATGCGCCGCATTAGAGGCGGACAATGCAACAGCGGATTGTTTGGCATCAATAATTGATATGCACTTTACCAGGTCGCTGGCCCACGGCAGGTCAAAATCAGGCTATGGATTCAGCGAAGACAATCTGTAGGGCATGGTCAATCTGATCCAACAGCGTAGCATTAGACGAAGCCATACATTTTTTAGATAGTTTTTAAGCCACACAATACTTGACAGAACGAATGCCATTGACCGAGAGTCAGGTACGAAGGTTAGACGAGGGTCAACACCAATCTGTTTTATGATTACTCTGGAGCTTACTACGCGGGTAGTTTCTGGTGCTTTCTTCGAACTTATTTATAATAGGAACTGCATTATGCATCCTTAATGGACTTCTTAAAGATCAGAATAGATCACTGACCTGAAATGATCCAGGCCAGCATTTTTTTTAGGAACATACTGCGTAGCGAAATTTTTAATGTTTACTCAAATGCAATACTCAAAGCATTCTTGTGTGGTTTTGGCCACTATGACCTTCGAAAGGTCAAGAAAGGTCACTGACCTTAAATGAGCACCAGTGACCTTTTGCTCAGAACAGATATTTAGGTTCTGGGGGCACTTACGACACCAACCTGAAGCTGACCTTATTACACCTTATGTGACCTGAAGGTTATGACCTAGGAACCCTAGATTTTGACATGATTAATTTCACGTACAGCCCAAAACACACTGTGAATTTGTCGCATCTGGCTATCTTAGTAGTCAGGTTAGTAAAGAAGTCAGGACCGGGTCTAACTGTCCCCTTGCCCCCCCCCCCCTCCCCCCCCCCTCCAACTGAACGAAGGGTATTCAGCTGGACACCTGGGTGCGCGTTAAATATATTTTTATGAACAGGCCTGATGCTCGCTTCTCGCAACATAAAACATCGTCATGTTTTCCTGGGACAGCTTCAGATTTGAAAATGTTTGAAAATATTTATTAACATAACGGCGAGTACCGCAAAACACCTGAAGCACCGCCAGGGCCACATTTCGGGAAATTGAAGTATTACAAGTGAGTAATAGGGGGCAATCTTGCATGGCTGGTTTGGCAGCACCTCAACGCCACACAAGCGTTTCATGACGCAATCAAACAATGATGTACTGGGGAGACTATTCACTAAATAGAGAAACTGTTTTTTTTCTGAAACAGTCTTTTCCACTAAAAGGTACACCACCCTTTAACTGTGAATCTGCTGCAAGCAAATTAAAAAACTGGCCGATAGCTTACATGACTTCGACGTCAATTTGACAAGCAGCCTGAATGGAACTGGTTCAGAATACAATAAGTTGCATTTATTGGCTAATCTATGATTCATTTATCTGTGCATCACTATTCTGTACTGAGATATCCGATGGAAGGCTTGTGTGCGCCCGCTCCCTCGTCACTCTAGTATGGGGTGAGACCCGTCACTGCCAGGGTTAAGTGTAACCATTAATTCATCTGGCGTCATCTGCACATCCTGCCAGCCTCGTATCGGAAGTATCACGCATTGAAAGCCTTTATTGGTGCCCCGTAATCAGGGTGGCTGTGATATGCTGCTGCAGCGTGGTCCCAAAATCAGCCATAATATAGAGGAAGCCAAGCTCGTCCTAAGGACGCCATCTGGCATATGAAGGCGCCTAAAATGTTGTTATATGTCAATTTGTAAGTGGTCAAATCTCATATCGCCAAGCTTATTCACGGAGGAAGCGTGCAAGATGCAGGACATTGGACGGTAAATTACAGCTTTAAGGCACTAGTGGCAAAATAGCTTAAAGCAAATTTCAGGTTTGGGATCAGGCGAAGCCATAATCGTAAGCGTCCAGCTAGAACTCAAAACTGGCGATGGAATTATCCGTTTCGTCGCAGCGCTTGTCGTAACTCAGACTGACGGCCACACTGGTGACGTAGCTGGCGTCGATTTGCGACCAGCGCCTGCTCTCTCGTAGTATCGACGTTTAACACAAACACCTTGTTATAGTATCGATGCCGGTGACAGACGTCCATTTGACGCGGCAGCCTCGTTCTGCAGTGCAGCGTGCCTGAGTCGGCCGATGAGAGAGAGACGGCAATTTGTCTGCCGTTGACGGCGGCTGCCGGCTTCAGCTGCTTGTTAACGTCGCCGAGAGGCAGCTTTAAGGACACGTCGGCCGGTGCCGGCAGCCTTATTCGGGCCGGAGTGGATCGCGGCCCGCACTCGAGGCATTTAACCCCGGCGCTGGGCTGCGTAGTTTCCTGCGGCTAGCGGCAGCGAGACGTTTTGCTCGTCTTTTGCGATGAGGCGAAGGCGACCAGTAATGAAATAGTAAGGCAAACTCAGTTTTGAAGCGAGCATGACGCAACAGCAGCTATCGCAAAAATCAGTCTGCTGTGTTGACGCTCGCTACTTTCCCATTGAGCCGCTTGGAAAGCCGTGCGACTTCCGCAAATTATTCATGCAGATTTTCCAATTTTGCTTTCAAAGTCCACACCATTGCGCTCATCTGTCGTGTTGTCGTCATTTGTTGCCTCCTCGTTATGTAAACGCTGCTGCATAATCACGTTTCCAGTGCTATCCGTTTATTCCACTATTCATTGAGGGGACGTGGGAGCTGGTAGCATTTGAACAACCGACCCTTTTATTTCCAGACTCACCTCCATCCCTTTTCCATGTAACGTGCCAGGCTACCACCAAATGTCGAATGGGATCAATCGAAGTAGACACTGCATGTCCGTCCACTAACTATCATCGGCTCCCATTTCACGCCATAAACTTAAATATGTCTGTCCGATAGCTCAGTTGGCTAGAGCGCCTGCCTTCCGACTCACTCACCCGCGGCGGGGTGACTTCGAGTCGCTCTAGGCGCTCGCTATTTGGCCTTGACAGCCATGGCCTGCGGCAGGTGGCAGCGGCCGCGATGAAGGTCAAATGACGTCATAGGGCAAGACGGACCGTGCCGAGCACTGCGGCACGTCCAGCTTTAGCCACCAAATTTGCCGATGACGCGGCCGGATGGCAGGGGCAGAGCTCACAGAACAAGCGCTGTTTAGCGCGAGCTCTGGTCCCATAAATCCATCCACTCAGAAGCTTCGGATTAAATCTTTAAAAAAGTTCCGTCAGCAGGAACCTTACCCAATCAGAAGTCTATTGAACATTTAAAATAAGGCCGCTGATATTGACCCGCCATTGACGTGGGCTATGGCGAACTTCAAGCGCTTTAACAAATTTAGTGTAGGAACTGGATTGTTTACCACCCGTAGGCAGTTTTATAAAGAGAGAATGTCTGCCATTTCGACGTAGGGAGGAACTTTCCATCTTTTATCTCGAATCCAGTTTGAACAAGTTAAGAGTAACTATGCACTCCTACGCTGGCAAAATTCTACTGTTTACGGGAAATTGGAGGACGGAACTACGCAGTGCTTCAGAAAGCATGCCTGGATTTTCACAACCGCAGCTGATTTGGCCATGCAGTATGAATTCAGTTCGAAACTTAATTACAACAAAAAGATGTTCTGCCTGGTTGTAACATCAGTGGTGATATAAACGAGCTGGTTCATGGTTAAGAGTGGGGGAGCAGAACCTTAAACCAAGGACCAACCTGCAGCGGGAAATTGTTAATATTTCATGTGGAATGGTGTCAACGTATGAAGAGCAGGTTTTGTGCGTGGGGCGGACCTTGTACGTACATGTGAAAAAATCTGTGCAACTGCAGTTGTATTGTTACTTTGTATGCCTCACCACCAATGTTAAGAGATACGATGGAAAAGCTGGAAAGCCGGTGTGAAAGTATATATATTTTTCCCATCTCGCAAACTTCACGCGATAATATTTATTTCTTACATGACACAAAGGGCATGATGTGGGCTCACAAAATATATAAACTTGGGTAAAATAAAGCTATTTCAGGTCAGCGACTTGATCTGTCTTGAAAGAGTCAAAGTTGCCAATATCCTTCAGCATGTTGTAGATATCTAGCCTTGGAATCAACGTCGTCAAGAGCAACCATAGTCGGCATGTCTCTCAGAGTCATTGGTTGATCGAGGTCATTTTAGGTCGGTGACCTCCATGACTCAGGGACTCAGTGGGCAGTGGCTTTTAAGCAAGAGGGACCGCAATGGAAGGACAATTACTGCGTAAAAGCTCAACACCAGAGACACAAAGCTGTTTGTTACTATTTCCACAAGTCTGCACGAGCGCAGAATGCCACCCGGTAAGCCTTTTTCTAGAGTAATGAGCACATCCTCGGTACGGAGCACACGCGACCTGATGGATGTCAGACGAAACGCTTGTCAATGGTGCTTTGTAAATTAGTATGGCTTGGTCAATGCATTAATTACTGCGTTGTCACTCTAACGTGATGCTCAAAATGGGCACGGTAATTCCCGGCAACATTTATATTTTTGTATTCCTTCACGGGAAAAGGTCAAGGTGGCAAGACTGATAAATATGGATCACCGTTTACTTTCTGCCATCAACCGGCAACTGAATCCCCGTACTGCAAAAAAAGTTCTAAGAATTTGAGTGAAAGAAGAAATGTTGAGCTAGCAAAGTTGGTCATAATAGAACAATGTTAGATATAAGTTTTTCGTTTCATAGAGCAAAGTCATCTACGGTCTTGAATAACCCAACATGTTCATGATTTGCAGAACCGACTCGCTGCCGTTCTGTTGTGACTGGTGGCCTGTCGTTGTCATCTTCTGTCATATGTTCTAGGTGTCGGAGGATATTTCCAAATCACTAGTAGATCTAGAGGTCGGTGTTAGCATGAACTACTCTAAGCACAGCGCACATTGCGCACATTTCTCTGCCCTGGGGCTTCTTATTCGTGCATGACCTGAACGGGAAGTGTGGCTTTGCGTTTGTTACGCTCCTATTGCGCTGACATTCCGATGAGCCGCCAGCTTAATTGGTAACATTTTCTGCTCGCTCACGCCTGCCTCAACTAGTGGCGTTTTGGGTGGCTTGTGCGTGTGACCTGACGGCGAGTGCACAGTGCGTGTGCACGTGCGTTTGGGTGTGCGCGTGCGTGAGCGTGTGCACGTGCGTTTGGGTGTGCGCGTGCGTGAGCGTGTGCATGAGCGTGTGCAGTCCGTGTGCGTGAGGGTGTGCGGTGTGTGTGCGTGTGTGTGCGTGTGGGGGGGGGGGGCGCGTGCGCGTACGCGTATTCGTGCTCGTGTCCGTGTTCGTGCACGTGCGTGTGTGCGGTTTGATTTGAATTGAATACCAACCATGTAAACTGACAGCAGAAATAGTCGATGATATATGGCTTACGTCAGTCAGAGTATACCTCTGTAGATCGATCTACCCCCGCTAGTTTTGCCTTTTCTTGGTAACTCTGGTAACTCAACCACTGCATGCTAAGTTTCGTGAACGGTTATAAAAAAGTCGAAGTTGAGCTGCAGACGAGAAAATACGCCAGTTCCATGTTCGACATTTCCGACAGTTCCGACAGTTATCAGATGAGTTCCGTGCCAAACATCGAACTCTTCATGTGAATAGAATGTTGTCTAAAGCAGCGTTCATTGGTTTTAAACGAATGTCATGAGGGTAATTAGATTCATGCTCATTGTTTTCAAACGAATTTAGTGATGAAATGTGCCAGGCTGTGGCGGGTAAGAGATCGGGCTGTGGCAGACCCGTTCTTTACATACATACTGTAATGATGATGAGCGTTGGCTCGTTCGCCAGTTATGGCTATCATCAGTCTGTCAGAAGCCAGAAGTGTTCACTTTGTGGCAATTCACTGCACCAAGCACACCATGATCACTGGTTACTTAACTATATAGTTGGTGATTAGTATAATAGCACATCGTGCTTTTAAACCGAATCTCTTGGTGGTAAACACTGCTCATTAGGGAAAACGCGCGAGTGCACCGTCACATGTGCTATTTCCATCGAGCATGGCTTAATGCCTGGGATCGGGGTGTTTGCATGCACGCTGGACGAGAAGACTGGTATTCTACCGCATGTCGCAGTAAAGCAGTTTCGCTCCCATGCTAGAATCACTGGCTCGGAAAGGTCCTCGCGTCTTATGTGTTGAGCATATTCCTGCCTGCCGCACTCTTCCGATCTTGCTGGAATTTCTCTGAGAATCCTTTTCCCGCATGTAAGACACTGCATGGTTCCTGAACTACCATCCGTCTCGTGGTGTATGCACTGTCGTACTTGCGCCGCACACTTACCGAGTGGGGATGAACCTCTGTAACGACCAGTTTACTAACACCCTGTCTTTGTGAGTGTTCCTCAAATGTGAAAAGGCTGCGAACCTCCCGCATATAACGCATCACTGGACTACCTCGCTGGCTCCTGCTCTAAAATTTAGCTCACGCAGCCTATTTCGGTGTATAACGTTTCCGAAAGTATTTTCAGTCTATCAGCTTCGCTTGGCTGTATTGTATTGTTGTGCAGCTGCCTCTATGCAGCTGTGTCCAATATCTGCGGCAGACGTCCTCGTCCCAGTACAAGGCGTACGGATAGTTTGTTAACGAACGTGTCTGCCGTGTTTACCTTTGGATTTTTTATATATGTGGTGGCTGGGTATATCTGTCTGCTGTATGCGTGCCGTCTTCTGGCGTACGTGAGTCTGCGAGTACCTCTTCCTTTTGTCAGGACGGGCGGCTCTCATGACGTCAGTGGGGCCCGCCGTCAGTGCAACTGGTCGCGTTATTTGTCTGCGTCTGCCCCTGTGTTTGTCGTTTGCTTGTGCCCTCTGTCGTCCGTTTCCCCCAACGCGTTGTGGTCCGCGCGGTTGTTTGCGCGGTCTCTTGTCTGTGCGGCGGTGTCTGCTATCTGCCGCAGCGGTGTCTGCCGTCTGCACAGCGACGTCCGCTGTCTGTTCAGCGGTGTCTGCTGTCTGTTGCGGCGGTGTCTGCCGTCTGCAGTGGTGTCTGCTGTCTGTGCAGCGGTGTCTGCTGTCTGTGCAGCGGTGTCTGCTGTCTGCGCAGCGGTGTCTGCTGTCTGTCGCAGCAGTGTCTGCTGTCTGCAGCAGCAGTGTCTGCCGTCTGCCACAGCGGTGCCTGCTGTCTGCTGCAGCGGTGTCCGCTGTCTGTCGCAGGTGTCTGCGGATGTGCAGGACACGGTGGGCCGGCTCTGCAGTGAGCTCCAGAGCTCAGACATCCAGCTGAACACCACTCCAGACGCCATGTCGCTCACCATGGGCACAGCCACCTTTGAGCTCTACATGGCCACCAAGGACCTCTACAAGTGAGTCGCAGCGCGCCCATGACGTCACGTTCGCGTCGACGCATGGCGTGATGGACCGCGTGCCTCACCTCGCGGCTGGTGGTGTCGTCACCGGTGACAGCATCGATGGTGTGACCTTCTATGACGGCGCCGATGGCGTGGTTCCCTTCCATCGGCGAGGTCACACCATACCGAGGTGACTCGTCCGTGCTGGGGGTGACCCTCTGTGACGGCGCCGATGGCGTGGTCCCCTTCCATCGGCGAGGTCACACCATACCGAGGTGACTCGTCCGTGCTGAGGGCGGCGCGTTGTTTCGTGAAGCCTGCTGTGTTTCACGGTCGTTTACGTGCTTTGTTGACTCGTCGTTGAACTAGGAAAAAGACGAGTATAGCTACAGACCGGACCGACGCCAAAACACAAGCAGCGACGTTAATCTGTACATATTTTATAGCGGGGCGGTCCAGTACACTTAGCTGTTAGGATCATTTTTCTTTCAGCCCGGTGGCATCGAATAAGTATGGATTAAGGTTCAGTGTGGAATAAGTGGTCTACAGTCAGCATATGGCAATTCAGGTATAAGGGCTACGGCGTTAACTAAACAATATCAATCCAAATGATCTCAAGCTTGTGCATCACCGGCTGCCACAGTAGAAGAACTTCAGTGTTGCACGTTTGTAAGGAGGGATGCTGCGGTCCTGCGGGTCGCTGTTGTACCGAATTGTTCCGATGCATTGTTACAGTGACCGCTGTACGCTGCTCGCTGGTGCTGGCTCGGTGACTGAGCTGGTACAACCAGGGTAATAGATGCCGGGTAGAACGAAATTCAGTACATTGTATTCAGTACACAGCGCAATTTATATATAATAATAATAGCGCAATGCTGCACTAGATGCGCAATGTAGGTTAGAACTTAAGTTTGCACTACACATTTGGCAGCCCGTAGCTGAAGGTAGGTGGCGCATAATTTACAATAATAAATCCACTTAAAGTTTAACTGAATGTTATGCTCCGCAGCATACCCCATAGGGAACTAAAAAAGTACTGGGGCGTACTGGCCTCCAACGCACGACCTCTCAGTTAGGATCTGACATTACTGCACATAACCGGTAAAACTACGGAGAGGGGTGCCGATAGTGTTCTGGTTACCACGCCTGCATTAGCTGCTGCACGTCTGGGGATACGGGGGTACGGGGTCGATTCCGCGCGATGCCTGCCCTTCCTGTCAGGGTAAGAGGCGGGCCACCCCATAAAGCCTCACCAGCTGAGTGCGTAGTAAAGTCCCATTGACGACGACGGTCCACTGAGATCAAAGGGTGAATTCGGGTTACAGCTGTGCGAAAACCAAGCCTTGAGCACGTGAATTTCATGGACTGGTAGGAAAAATACGTCGTGACGTGGCTGCGCTGCCAACCTGCCCTGTGGGGGCTGGGTAGAGGAACAGTTGACATTTGGCCATGATGTGTATCAACCATGTCTCTTCGTGTCCCAGAACAGCCGCTTATGTAGTGAGGTTATTTGGTTATTTGGTCTAGAGCCCTTTCGACCAGGATTGATCAATTCAGTGTTATGGGATGAAGGAGACTGGATGACGGTGGGGCAGAACTACGTGCACCTCGGGGGGGGGGGGGGCAACCGCCGCGCTTGGCTGGCGAGGGGTCCCTCTGTGGAGTATTCTCTGTTCTCCCGGTCGGGGTCCCGGCTCACTCGTGGCTGCTCACTCTTGGCTGACCCATGCAGCCTGCGCCGGACAAGCGGGGCATCGCGGGGATGCAGAACAGGTTAAAAAGAGGATAAGAGGGTCATATTGTGCTTATGTGGCTCATCAAAGACCGTGAATTGATAGGAGGCTGGTAGAGCACACACGTTTGGCTATAGTACCGTCGAAAAACGTATATTTTAAAGTAGACGTGCTGTCCACCGGAATGAAGGGTTCTTCAGAGAACCCCACGTATAGCAGGGCTTTTGATTCAAACTATTCAGGGTCTACGCAAGACATTTGATCCAATTTCACAAAGAACAAGGGCATCAAACCAGCCACGTCAGTCACGTCAGCCACGTCAGGGCCACCGTTGTTGCTCTCAATAGCACGCATTTTTACCTCTTCTACATTAATGCACCGGCATAATGAGGAACCGCTCGCTGTTTGTCCCATTCATCTCCGCGGCCGTGACGACGTAATGACTCTGACCTCGGGGTCGGCCGGGCCCGGAATCAAGGTCACAAGGTCAGCGCACGACATCCGGCCTGAGACTGACAGAGAGACATTCCGCCAGTGAATCAGATCTGGCTTAATGAGATCTCTTGTCTACCTGTCTGCGCGGGGTGTCAATAGCGCCGCGGGCGACGGCAGCAGCTGACTGCGCAACAGCTGACAGCGCGGCAAAACGGCTGCTGCAGCAGTAGCTCCGGCTCCAAAAGACTAAAAACAGTAATCCTGCCGGTCACAAAGTCACGGAAGCGGCCTCGTGATTCGTGACGTATCTAGGTGCTAAGTGGACACGTGAGATGTGCCTTATTGGTGGTACATCGTCACGTGCCAAAAGTATGTATTGGGAGGAAAGGAGGGTGGAGAGTAAGGGTTTGCTCATGTTTTCTGTTGATTAAGCCATGTCACCCACGCCATTTATGTCTGCCATGCCAACCGTGTGCCTGACATCAAACTCGATATGGATGCAGGCTGTGCCGCCTCCGCTCATGTCGGGGCACATATTCCCTGGCTCCATTTACCGTTCTGCGCACGGAAAATATTTTGTACAGTTTCGAATGACGCGCTTGAAAGCTCATTTCCTCGAACAGGAGACCTCGGCTTATAGGGTACGACTCAGCAAAAGATGCGACTGATACTCCAGAAGCCATTGGTCGCCGGCAAGAAGCACTGCGGGGTATCAACGGCTGGCGGCCGCCTTTTAGGGAATCTAGCATCTTGCTGAAGTTTCCGAGACCGGCGTGGCATTCAGTACACGGCGATGTGAGCCTAAAACCGGCCTCCGACTGGCTTCAGTTGCAGAGCCGTCGTGGTAGCAGTCCTGGTCATTTCTCTTCTTGTTACGCCGACTCAGCTGATAACTTTAACAATGACATTTGTATTTCTTTCTTTTTTTTAAACATGGAACGGGAAAATCAAACAGGATCTGCAGGCAACTTGCAAGTTACTGTTTGTCCATTTCCTCTTTTGATCAAGCCGCTTGCAGTGTTTGATAAAGCCGCTTGCAGGGTTTGATAAAGTCGCTTGCAGTGTTTGATAAAGCCGCTTGCAGTGTTTGATAAAGCCGCTTGCAGTGTTTGATAAAGCCGCTTGCAGTGTTTGATAAAGCCGCTTGCAGTGTTTGATAAAGCCGCTTGCAGTGTTTGATAAAGCCGCTTGCAGTGTTTGATAAAGCCGCTTGCAGTGTTTGATAAAGCCGCTTGCAGTGTTTCATGCTTGAGGCACCAGTACCAGTTTCAATATATTTGTATTTTTCAGCTCCTCTGCGTCCGTCAACAAGGCATCAGGCCGACATAACTGCTCTTATGTACGTGATCTGCGAGGTGCCAGTGAACGAGACAGAGGCTGTGTCACGTGACCAGGAATCGCCGGGGGGGGGGGGGGGCAGGCTCCGTGTCGCGTGTCGCCGGCGCGGAGACCGGTCGCGTGACCTAAGGCATTTGGTACCGGGACATCAGCCTGTACGTAACAATGTATGTGTTATATATTCGTCGCAGTTGTACTTAATAACCAACGAGGCTTGTTTTGTTTGGCTTAGGCATTCGGTGGCGGGTTGTCGAGTACTGAGACCGAGTACCGAGAGCGAACAGCTGCCTGCGGTGCCCCAGTTCTTGTCCCGGCTGACCCAAAGCCTCGAATGAAAGTTGTATGGAACAGTTCTTGAGACCGCAAAGGGCTAGGACAATGGATCCCATTACGACATGGCACTTAGTGAGAAGCTGTCGTCACCAGCCCTAGGTGTTAAGCCAGCCAGCCCTCCAAAGGGTTTCGCTGTCGGTGGTGTCTTCGGCTGGCGGGGCAGAAAGCTGTTCTGACGCAAGCGGATTCAGGCTGATCCGGCTTCAAACGTGCGGCTTGAAACCATGCACTAATGAACACGAATGTCGGCAGAACCTCATTCTGTTGTGGACACCTGTCTCGTCAGATTTGGGCACCGGCTGGGGTGGCAATATCACGCTAAGGGAGGTTTAGGCTGGCCTAGTTTTGCCGCTGCAGAACCAAGGCGAAGGTGCAACTGCAGTGCTTGCTCCAGTGCGCGGTAACAAGCACGACTGAAAATCGAAGGGAGCTGAAGCCGAAACAGAATTGCATCGTATAAAAAGCTGTAGCCTTACAAATGGCTTTTCAGTCAACCTCTTCCAGCTTTGCAATTAACTTGCTTGGCAGGGCGAAGTAATTTCAGGGAGAAAACAGAATATTGGGTTCGTTTGTACTCAGCCCGACAACTCGTGAGGAAAGACGAATTGGTGTCGAACTCAAGGTTTATGAGCAGAAGAGCCAGCCCAGGCATCGTTACAGAAGATCGCTCGTGATGTTCGTCGATGCGTTTCGACGTGCTTATAGCGGGAATCTTGAATAGTATACCATCCTGAGTAATGTCATGCCATATCCCGAGCAGTGTCATGCCGTACCCCAAATAGTGACATGCCATATCCCGAGCAGTGGCATGCTATATCCCGAGAAATGTCATGTCATATCCCGAGCGGTGTTATGCCACGTCAATTCAAAAGTTATGATGGCGAATGCACTTAATGCCTGGTGTGCACTTAATGACATTTATGTCTTACACTACAATAGCAGAAGTGTGGTAAATGACGCAAAACGATCACAGACAGCAGAGCAAACTCCAGGGTAGGTAATGATGAAAATAGCATATCCGAGCTAGCAATAAGGATAAAAATATGTGTGCTCTGACTGAACATACGGGTTCAAGGTGTGTGATGTTGGAAAAGGGTAGCTTTGTGTCTTTAGACTGGCTGAGCTCGCATATTCTCATGAAGATGTAGCTTTGTTACTAAGCTAAAGGTCGGCATA